TACAGCACAATAGAGTGAGACTAGCCAGTTAGGAGTTAGACTAAGAATGTCATTGCTCGTCTATTGATGCAGGGCTTTACCTGCTAGTTTTTACTATATCAGCCATCTACTTCGTATTTCGTATTCTGTATTTCATATCTCCTATATTGTTGTTATTTTATTATGCATTTTTATGGTACTAATATATCGTCTCCTGTTGCTTTTTTGAGCCGAGGGTCTCCTGGAAACAGCCTCTCTACCCTTCGGGGTAGGGGTAAGGTTTGCGTACATATTACCCTCCCCAGACCCCACTTGTGAGATTATACTGGGTTGTTGTTGTTACTCCATATGCTTTGTTCCATGACGCACTAGCTCATCGCCTTATGTCTGCTAAAGTGGGTCTTTCGTTGATTTCTTTCCCAAAAAACCCGACAATGCATCTTTTTAGTAGACTGGAATCCTCGCTTCCCGTCGGTTCTACAACAGAGATATCTCCATTGTTTATGCTGACCTTTGCCTCTCGAAGGGTATTGGATTGCCATTTACTCTCCTTGATTGCTTTGACGTAAGGGTAGTTGTCCACAGTGATTCTAGGTGGGACTGTGGGATTCATTTTGGGGGTCTGATGTATGAATCTTTCTATCTTAGCTGCTATGTCTTTCCAACCTGCATTCACATCTAACTCTGGAATTATAATAACAGACCTCCCTTCTCCCTTTAGTGACAGAATGCTCATGTATCTTCCATGAACGTTGAATTTCCTGGTACAGAAATGTTCTGTCATATATTCCTTGTACTTCCATCGCTTCACTAAATTCATTTGATCTGTCGACGCTTCTTTAAGTACAAAACAAATCCATTACATTGCTTTTCTGCCCATGGATGAACGTCTCATCATGCTGCGGCTTCTCTCCACCCATTCGAACCATACATCTTTGTTGGAATTCCATCTGGTGATGTCAAAAGATTTGAATCCTGCGTTGAAATAAATCCGGTTGTCTCCCATATTGTACCACCCAGCTGTTCAGGTTATGGAAATGATAAGGAGTGTTTGCTGGTAATCACAGTTGAGCTGTTGATGTAGAAGATACTGAAATCTGGACTAAAACAGAGGTTCCCCGCACCCCGGAAAAATAAAAATCGTCGGAAATCTGAAAAAATTTTACAGATCTGGTCGGAATTGTCAGTAGGGTAAGCAGTCCAAAAGAAATTTTTTGAAACCCTGCCGGAAAAGGGCTCACGCTCCCGGCGCGTGGCTTTTAGGTCGCCGGAAGGTTCCGCGCGTGGCAGTCAGTTCGTCGGAAGAACTTTACACGGATACTAACTAAACATTGCACTAAGTATGGAAAGATTATATCAGTAACACAATGCCTACAGCGTATCAAATATAGTCTGGGAAAAAACCTTGTGGAACTGTTTTACAAAAATTAGTAGCAATTCCAGTAGAAGCAAATACTAAATAAACAGTGACACTATGCAAAAACTGCCAATTACACCAAACTCCTGAGTAATAAGGGAAATTTTACCATTAATTCAAACTCCACACTCTAACATGCATTGCATTTCTTCTGTCAAAGCAATCTTTAGAACGTCGTCGTAGATGACTTAAAATGAAACTTCCCCTTTCGGATGATTCCGTGCTCTCTTCAACCAGCAGATTTAGCCTTGTCAATCCTCACAGAAACAAGATCAATAAGGTTTGGATTGGCTCACTTTCCTGATCGGCGCAGGAATTTTCACAAATGATGCTTCGTCGTGCCTATTATTTGGGGAAGATACAGATTCACTGAACTATCGAAACAACTAAATGAAGAAAGAGGAGAAGCAAGCACTGTACAGCTTGTGAAAAGTCAAGGCCAGTGGGAAACCTACGTAAACAAAAGGGGAGAAGATATACAAGATATTCTTATCTAAAGGCTAAATCACTCGTACATCGATTATCTGAAATGCTCAAGATTCTCCAAACGTCCTCTCCTGGATGATCTGCCCGAGTTTAGAGTACACAGCTAGCTGCTCCTCAAATGTGAGGTTCAGTATTATCTACACCGTTGCATAAAAGAACATTTAGCACTAAGATTTATATTTCATCGAGACATTGTTGGTATGTGAGCTTGGGAAACCTACCTGATCCAAGATCATCTCAATTGACAAGTTCTGTGGCACAACAAAGGACTGATGATAGATATATGCAAACACAGCCATCACCATCTGCACAAACGTAACTCGTCATGAAAAGAGATTCACAATCTCAGTAATTCAGATTAGAACTACAAAGTAAAACTGCTGAGGGAGGGACGTTATACAAGAGGGAAAGGTGAAGCACAAGACAGAATACTGAAAATAATAATTCTAGTAACAATGGTAAGAGGTCGAAATCAGTATGCATCATCTCTTAGGCTGAACCAGCTAAATTATTATTTGTCGGGAACAGGGTAAGAACCTTTCATTGGTTACACACTTACACCCTTCAAGTGTCGGTTCTTTATAGATCCATTACGTTATCCAGGTTTTTCTATTGATAAATAGACCTAATGAGAAATGGATATTTATTTGGTTTCTAGATCTATGAACAAGAGAGATCTTGGGATACAAGCAATTACGAATGATATTACTAGTAAATGCATTCCTCCCCAAGTCAACATGTTTTAATGTTTAAGGGGTATTACGCCAACCATACTGAGGCTTTGCTTCTGTTCAACACATAATGTGTCCACACCAGCTTCCACATAAAACATAAAACAAAAAAGTAAAAGATGCCTGCCTCTCTTTATCTCTACTAAAAACTACACTCCTTCCACGAGGAGGTTCAGCATCATAATGAAAAGGCTTGACACTGGATTTTACAATACTCCCTCCGGTCCATAATAAGTGACCAATTTGCTTTGGGCACGCCCATTAAGAAAATACTAAATTCTATACAAAAATACCTAGTATGACTAAACTACCCTTAATTAAATGTTTAATGTGAGGAGTAAGAAAACATTTTAGGAATATGTACATAAGGGCAATTTTGTAAAAATAAATTGAATTTTTTCTTGATTATATAAATGGACACTTATTTTGGACCAAAATAAAAAAGGCAAATTGGCCACTTATTGTGGACTGGAGGGAGTATTTTATACGAGTCAGGATATTAAATCACCAACTAATAATTTGGTAGATTCTTTTACAGACTATCCTAATTCCTAATTTAGGGGACAAGTGGAAATCAGAAAAAAAATATTAATGCAAGTATTGAAAATTTATCACGTATTTTAAATAAAAGTCAAATTTTCGAATTTAACAGTTCAGGAAGACGATACAATTGGAAGCCAAGCAATTCTGCATCTTTGGATCCATCAAGCTAGAATTGCATGTTTCGAAGATTCGCGACCCTTTATCTTGGACAGAACATAAATTTTTTTTGAATTAACTTATATTCTATATTATTTCATGAAGTCAGGGCAAGAGAATAGCGGAGGACAATTTTATAGCCCAGACATGTCAATGTGCCAAAAAGATTCCTTTAGTGTCAATAATACCTGTCCATACAAAAGATCAGAATCCATATTTAATGGTAGCTCACCTGACAGTCCATTCTATCTGTCATACCGCCATGTCCAGGTATACTATCACCAAAATCCTACAGCGAATAGAAGGATAGAAATCATATTATTCATTGGTAACGGTAAGGACCTAGTAAGGCATCTAGAAATTAAGACAACAATAGTGAATATCGTACCTTGATCTTGAAGGCTCTCTTAAAGCCACTAGCAAAAAAGCCTCCAAAAGGAGCTATAATAGATGCAAACAAGCCAAGCAATAAAGCATGCCATTGTACAGGCAAAACAGCAATCTCTCTCGAAAGAAACTGCAGAAATAAGAATCAAAGATAACTTCAGTTTATTATGCTATTGGCTGAAAAAAGCTAACTTTTCTAATTCAGTACAAATCACTTGATAATCTCAAGTAGAGTATTAGACGTAGTGGTGGTAAAATGGTTAAAAGAAAACAGTTAACCACCCATATTATCCACTAAAAATGTGTTGGATAATGAACTTTGTAAAAACGGGTCAAATATGGATAAGAACCATATTATCCATTTAGAAAATGGATAACTAATAGGTTTAACCTTTACATTTGTAAAGCCTCAAATTGGGGGTTCCTCAAGTTTAGGAGATTAAGAATTCTCCCAAAAGTGATCATATTCTAGAAGTCATGTCCCATATTATCCGCCGGTTAACCCGTTTTTTATCCGTATTAAATATGGATCGGGTCGGATAATTTATCCGTTTTTCATTACTAGCTTTTGACCCATCCCATATCTGACCCGCCCGTTTGCCACCCCTAATTAGAAGTATCAAAATTATATTAATCGCATTAGTATCTGGTGAATACTTTCAAATCATTCACAAAGTTAACATGCCTACCCCATTTGTTGTGTTGTAAAACAGTTTTCTTTTAAACAAAGCAAAAGCAATCTAAGAAAAGCCCAAAATAATTCTCCTAAAACCAAATCAACCATTGCTAAAATCAACAGAACTCCAGAACACACAATTGTTTTAAGCAAACATAATTGTTTCATGGTTTTGTCTTTTAAGAATTTATGCTTTTGCAATTTTTACTTACTTGCACATCATCATATGTTAGAAATGTTAACAAATTCATAGAATTCTAGGTTTGAATATAGATTATAAAAATCCTTACAAAAAAAAAAGATTTGAAATAAATGAAAGGTTGGCCCATCCTAGCCTGCAGCCCGCCTAGGGCTAAGCGGGCTGGGTTAGGCTGGTTATTTTAAGGCCCTTTTGAAAGTGGGACCCGCCCTTCCTAGCCCATCAAATTCCATGGCATGTGAGGGTTGGGCTGCGCTAGCCCATTTTGACAGCTCTCCTGCTACTTTCCCACCAACACAAGTACCGCGTAACTCTGCCAATCAAAGTCTAGGCAGATGGGAAGAACCTAACATTTTGTCTCTATTGGGATTTGAATTCTGATCTACTCAGTTAAATACTTTAAAAGTATATCCTCAAATAATTGCTTGTCAGATATAGAAATATTGATTTTGCAACATTAGTCAAAGTAGATTCATAAAATTAGGTAAAACAAAAACACCTTCTAAAACAACGGAACTCATCGCTTAAGCAATTTATAACTGCAATTCAAAACAATGCATAGTATATGTATGTGTGTGTACGCGCACGCACACACATAATCACAAACACATCTTATTGCAAATTCATATCTAGTTTCGAGAACAAATTCACAGGGAAAAAGGGGAAAAGGGTGGATGTCTCCTAAAGAGTAACAGAGATGAGCAAAGCAAACGCACGCTCGAGATGATTAAAAGAAAAGCTTCTGCGACAGAACAGGGTGTAATAGCATTGGAAGAGCACACAAAAATGCAACTTTAAGTTTCCAGGGCTGACAGAAAAGTTACCCATGCAGGAAACCATTCTGGTAAAGTAAAATATTCTGGTTTAAACAGTGGGCCAGGATCACAATCAAGCCAACCAGTCGATAGGTCCTGCATCACAAAATATGGAAGTTACGCTTTTCGAAACTGAGCAGCTAGTCTCCCAAGCAAATTGGGAGAAACTTTACCCGGAAATATTACCTTCCTAGGGCATGTCAGCCACTGGAAACGACCAAACATATTCGCAAGCTGAAAAAAACAACAAACAATGATTAGAAAATCTACAAAAAGAAAAAGAAAACCATATACCCTTCTCAAACACTGTTCAGAAGAAAAATCATTCAGTGTATTGCTATAAACATACATAAAAGCGACACAATTTAAGCATGAGCATTTTGACGAGTCTGACATGAGAAGGTGGCATAACCACATAAAAATAGGATAAAGAAAATAGCCCCATCATGCAAACATTCCAAACTGAAGGAAAGACCAATGTGCACTACACATTGCTTTTGCACCAAATAACAGTTACCAGAAAGGCAGAGATAATGGTTGTAACAGATGCTCCAATGAAGCCTTCCCAAGTTTTCTTAGGGGACAATTTGATCAAAGGAGTTCGTCCGAAGAAGAATCCGAAAAAATAAGCAGCTATATCATTGATCACGATGAGAGAAGCTGGAAGCAGGAACCTGCATTACAATGAATCTCTATTTGAAGTTCTATATTCATGTTCAATTTGTTGCATGTTCAATTTACAAAAAAGAAAAAGAAGATAAATAAAACAAAAAGGAGGAGAGTAATACAAACATGGGACAATGGGTAAGCAATAACAACAAAAGACTACTACTCAGTCCCAAAAGAAGTTGGGAGGCTATATGAATTCTTACTTCTCCATTTAAGCTCAACTCATGTCATCATCATACCAAATAAAATAGATGTGAAAAATTAAGTTAAATATGCATAAATAATAGTACTAACAATAATATTCCTACTACTCAGTCCCAAAAAAGTTGAGAGGTTATATGAATCCTTACTTCTCCATTTAAGCTCAAATCATGTCATCATCATACCAAATAAAATAGAAGTGAAAAATTAAGTTAAATATGCATAAATAATATTACTAACAATAATAATATATTAGAAGTTCTCTAACAAGATTAAAACTTATTCCCAACTAGTAAATATCGCTCTATGCGGATCTTTTCTTCCGTTGTGTCCTATCTTTAGCTAAGTGCCTAAGTTTGCATGGTTTCAAGAATTTACAGTTCTTTCGAGGCAACTTCTTTCCATGTGATTTTAGGTCTACCCCGTCCCATTTTAACACCTTTACTCACCATACTCCGCATGTGTAAGCTGGCTCACATTGCCGGTCCCAAGCTAGGATAGAGGAGGAGAGTTGCGGTAGGTTGGCAGACAACATAAAAAACATTATGTTCCCCAAGAACTAAAAGATACCTCCAAGCATTTCTACTAGATACATTCACCAATAGGAAAGAGAATAATACTTGAAGCTTGGACACAATGATTAGTTTCCGAGACAAAGCAGATACAAATCTCCAAAAAATACAAGAGGGCAGGCCGGTAGACTAGGGTAGTTATGGTAGGTTGGTTTATCAGTGAATAAAACAATTTCTTTCTCTATTTGAGGTGGATGCAACAAGTACACCTCGACCGCTAACAAGTTGTGGTCGGCTATATGAATCCACACTATTCATGTCACTCCATTTAAGTTCATCCCAAACCACTATTACCTATGGTGGATGGAGGAAGAAAATATAATATCTATGAAACTGAAGGTGTCTTACCAGAAAATTCCCTCAAAAATATTGGCAACAGTGAAAGCAGATTGCGTAAACACCACAATTAGAATCATATGTGTCCATGCATACTGGCTAAATTGATACTTGTACATCTTCTTCTTCAGTGTTAGAATGAACCACATGAAACCTGATTCCAAAGGAGAGGGAGCACTTCAGTAAAATTCCTCAACAATCAGCAGAAGATGAGCATGTATTATAACAACACAAGGCATGAAAAATGGCACCCCAGGACAGCAGTATACTAAAGAACTTATTATTTCACATCTTGGGTATTGTTAAACTGCAAAATCCTTTCGAGATTCAAACACTGCATGAAAGGACATGCTTAAACAGATAGAACAAACCTGCGATATAGAAGAAATAACACGTGACCATGTGATACTTAACAAATTTGCTGACAAGCTTGTACAGGACTTTGTCTAACGTAACTGTGTTGACAAGCCTCTGGCTTAGCATGCGGCCATATACAAACAGCATAGCTGTGAAGAAGAAGTGCCTGGAAACAAAGTTGGAATTTAGCAAAGTCAGAAAGAATGGTCGACAACACCATGGTAATATGATAATTAGTGCCAAGCTTCAGAATAGAATCAGCTACAATGTTCAACTGTATATCAAATGGATAATATTTTGCAACCAAAAACAAAGTTGCGCAATTAATTGACAAAGGGAGTATGAACCAAACAAACGACGTTTTCATAGTTCAATAATTTAGTTAGTCAATGTCATTTTCCTCTTGTAGTCACGTAGCACCAATACTTTCCTCTTGTAATCATATTTTATACAGGAATTTGTCTGTAATCACGTTGCACCAATGTTGTATGTTGAATGTTTAAGTGTGACCAGCTCATCTAAAAGTTTAACAAACTAGAGCTAGCAAACTTTTATTGACTCTCACCAGGGGTGCTTCACTAATACTTGCTTTCTTGAAAGCCTCCACGAAGACTTCAGATGGGGGTTTACAGGTGTTTATGGTCCTCACTCCAATGCTGAAAGGGAAGAATTTTAGCAGGAATTGGGATCAGTCAGGTATTTGGGAGGAACAATGGGTTGTTGGAGGGGATTTTAATGTATGTATGTATGAATCTGAAAGATTGAACTGTTATAGAAGGACCAAAGCTATGAGATGTTTCTCAGAAGCAATTGAGGACCTACAGCTAATGGATTTGCCATTACATGGAGCACAATACACCTGGTCAAGAGGGGAGGATATTTTCCCAGCCTCAAGAATTGACAGGTTCTTGGTTTCCACAAAATGGAATGAAAGTTTTAGAGCCATCAAGCAACTAGCACTTCCAAGAGTCATCTCAGATCACAAACCTTTATTGCTAGAAAGTGGAGAATGGGATTCAACATCTTACTTTAAATTTGAAAACATGTGGCTTCAAAGAGAAGGATTATTGATATGGTGAAAGGGTGGGGGCAAAATTACACAATAAGTGGCAACCCAGACTTTGTGCTAATTCAGAAGTTGAGGAGCTTGAAGAAGGACATCTCCAAGTGGAACAAAGAAGTTTATGGCATGTTAGACACTAAGAGAAGCAGGGCTTTTGATGAACTCTTAGCCTTAGAACAAGCAGCTGAAAGCAAAGCTCCAACTCAAGCGGAAAAACAAAGGTTTCTGACTCTAAGAATGGAGTTGGAAGAGATTGCTAAAGCTGAAGAAATTTCTTGGAGGCAAAAATCTAGATGCTTATGGTTAAAAGAAGGGGACAGGAACACTAAATACTTTCAAACGTTGGCCAACTCTCATAGGAGATGCAACTCAATAGACAAGCTCAAGATAAACAATGAGATTACAAAAGATAAAGAATTGATCAAAGGGGAGATATTAAACTATTACCAATCTCTATACACAGAAAAGGAAGAGTGGAGACCATCCTCCAACTTTGAAGATGTTGTCAGACTATCAGAGGAGGAAAGTGAGCTGCTTGAAAAAGGTTTTGAGGAAGATGAAGTTTATGCTATCATTCAATCATGTGCCACAAATAAAGCCCCAGGTCCAGATGGCTTTACCATGGCCTTCTTTCAGAAGTCATGGGATTTCATCAAACCAGAGATTATGGCAACACTAAATCATTTTCACCAGCACTATTACATGAAGAGATCATGCAATGCCTCTTTCATTGCCTTGATACCTAAGAAGAAGGGAGCTATTGAGCTTAGGGATTACAGACCAATAAGCTTTATTGGTAGTATTTATAAGATTGTGGCCAAGGTGTTGGCAGAAAGACTGAAAAAGGTTATTGGAAAGCTGGTTTCTTCTCATCAAAATGCTTTCATTAAACACAGACAGATTACTGATGCAACTCTCATAGCTAATGAAGTGTTGGATTAGAGGCTTAAAACTGACACACCTGGTGTTATGTGTAAACTGGATATAGAAAAGGCATTTGATCAATTAAATTGGTCTTGCTTGCTATCTATTTTGAGGACAATGGGGTTTGGAGACAAATGGTTAAAGTGGATCAGATATAGTATCTCTACGGTCAAGTACTCAGTCTTAATCAATAGAGGTCCTGTTGGTTTCTTTTCACCGCAGAAAGGAATTAGGCAAGGGGATCCTCTTTCCCCCTTCCTATTCATACTAGCCATGGAGGGTTTAAGTAAAATAATGGAAAAAGCCAGACAAATGCAATGGATCCAAGGATTCAGTGTAGGCACAAACACTGGAAACTCAGTCACTATCTCCCATTTATTATACGTCGATGACACACTGATCTTCTGTGAGGCAGATAGCGTCCAAATCTTGTACTTGAATTTTACACTCCAGCTATTCGAAGCATTGTCAGGACTTCACATCAACAAGCAGAAAAGTATTATATATCCGGTCAATCGGTGAGCAACATTGAGGAGTTGGCAGGGATCATCGGTTGCAGTATAGGGTCATTGCCTACCACCTATTTGGAAGCCAATTGGGGCTTCCACTGGGAGCTGAATTCAAAAGTTGTGATATCTGGAATGGTGTAGTGGAGAATTTTGAGAAAAGACTGGCTTCATGGCAACAACAATACCTCTCTATGGGAGGAAGACTCACTCTCATCAGTAGTGTGCTTGACAGCTTACCCACCTATGTCATGTCACTGTTTCTCATCCCTAAAAAGGTACTTAAAAGGCTGGACAAGATCAGAAGGGACTTTCTATGGGAAGGAAATAGCAATTCTCACAAGTATCATTTGATTAAATGGGATAAGGTATTGCAACCTAAATGCAAAGGTGGATTGGGGGTCAGAGATCTAGACAAGCACAATAAAGGTTTGCTAATGAAATGGCTCTGGAGATACGGCACATGTGAACCAAGTCTATGGAAAGAGGTGATTAATGCAAAACATGGGATTAAAGACAATTGGAGCACCAATACTTTCAGTGCATCCCATGGAGTAGGGCCCTGGAAGCATATTAGCAAACAGGGGAATGAATCTTTCAGAATATTCATTTCAAACCAGGCAGTGGATGTCATATTAAGTTTTGGAAAGATAAATGGCTAAACAACACTGCTCTCATGGAGGACTATCCTAGCTTATTCAACATTGCCTTGGACAAGAATTCTTCCTAGCTCATAACAGAGTAAATGATAATTGGGATGTGCAACTTAGAAGATCTGTTCAAGATTGGGAGATAGAAGATTTGATGGAAATGCTAGCAAGACTAGAGGCCTACAACATTGATGAGAATGCTCCAGTTAGTATGAGATGGGGATGTAAAGGTCTTTATACTGTTAAAGATTGCTACATGCAACTTAACAATCAGAATCAGGTATTGCATTCATGGCCTTGGAAACTGATATGGAGGACAAAGTTACCTGTGAAGGTGACATGCTTCAACTGGATTGCCCTTCACGAAGCATGCTTAACGCAAGATAACCTATGCAGAAGGGGACTTCAGCTGATCAATAGATGTTACTTGTGCAGGAGACATCAGGAAACAGTTAATCACATACTTCTACACTGCCCAATAGCCACAGACCTATGGAACATGTTCTTTTGTATTTTTGGTCTAAGCTGGGTAATGCCACAGACCCTGAGAGAGGCACATATAAGCTGGAGTCTTTGGGAGGTTGATAAGGTCATCAAGAAGATCTGGCTTATGATCCCTGCAATTATTTTTTGGTGTTTATGGAACGAGAGGAATAGAAGATGCTTTGATGACACCTCAACACCAAACCACTTACTCAAATCTAAATGCCTGTTCAACCTTTTTTGCTGGACAAAGTTGTCCCCCATAAATAGTACAGGACACTTTTTGGACTTTATTAGCTCTCTTGTCCTAGATTGAGACTTTGTGTTGGGGCAAACAATGTTCTCCTGTTATTTTCTGTTTATGTAGCTCATATGCCTCTTGTAACTTTGCATCTTCTTGATGCCTTCTTAATGAAACATATTACTTCATCAAAAAAATATATCTTCAAAACATCCTCTCACATGCAGACTTGATTTTTTCATGAGCCAAACGCGTGGAAGTTCTTTTTGATAATGGTGGCAATGAGAACTGAACCCATGACCTCTGTTTGCTCTTATACCATATTAAGGTGTGTGACCAACCCATCTAAAAGTTTAAACTGCTAAAGATAGCACACTTTTATTTACTTAATTATATCTTCAACACATCTCTCACATGCATGCTTGATTTTTTTCATGTGCCAAGCACGTGGAAGTTCTTTTTAATAATAGTAACAGTGAGAATTGAACCCATAACCTCTATATGCCCTGATACCATATTAAAGTGTGTGATCAATCCATCTAAAAGTTTAAACTGTTAGAGATGCACACTTTTATTTACTTAAATATATTTTCAACATCGTAATTTATGCACATTCAACAAAAGTTAATTTGACATATCCACCAAGAAAGTAGAACTGGAGCACACATGCTCTAATTTAATGAAAATGAACTTCAAAGGGCTCGACACAAATAATTGCCATTCATAGCATTTGTTAGGTCTCATATAAATAGAGGCGGGATTCTATTGCACCTTAGAGTAGCTAATGCCTCTAAATAGTTCTAAATCCTATAATCTAAATGACTTAAAACAGAGGATCAAATACTTGCACGACTCAAGACTATGCCATATCTATACTATATTAAAAGCACGAAGACCTTAGTAAAATGTCGTTCGCCTTTTTTACCCTTCAAAAATAGAGTTCATGCTAGACAATATAGTCATATAATTATTTTCCTAATATTTAGGACGGTTAAATTAACCAAAATTTTGCTTATTAAACCTTTCCTTATTTGAACTATTATATAGGAAATCCTAATATTTAGGACATCAAAGTCAATTAAATTTTACCTTTTATATATTTGAACAAATAGCTAATTCGAGAAGATTAAAAATCTTCCCAGCAAAAATAGACTGGTTTTAATAAGACAGGAAAATGACTTAGATTTCAACTAGAACTAATCATAAGAGTCCAGAATTTTAAAAGTGACAACCTAATTGAGTGCAACTTGCATATTTCTTTAACGTTAATGACCTTTTCATTTGCTTCTATTTCTTTTGTTCATTTACAAACGAAAGGCCATAATTTTATACTTAGCAAATTGAAACAAATATTAATTCAACATTTTAGTTATAAATGCGATTAGATTTGATATTTTAAATACATGAATTAATAATAACATGAGATTCAACCAATAATATTTATGTACCTAATAAACAACAACAACAACCCAGTATAATCTCACTTAGTGGGGTCTGGGGAGGGTAGTGTGTACGCAACGCACGTATCCTAAGACTAGTAGTTTGAATAAATGAAAAGCAAACATATTAAGATCCAAAAGATTCTGCGCAGTTACCCACACTATATACTATAGTTTCAGCAAATATCTTAAGAAAATGACATTTTTAATCAAAAGTTGGGTAAGACATGAACCCAACCCACTGTCAGATCTCCTAAAAGAAGTAGAACATGCACACTTGACATGGCACATATAAGATGAGAAAAGCAAGCAAGCCAGGTGACATCAAACTGATCTTACTCACCAATTCAATAGCCTGAAACCAGGAAGCTGCCGGTCTTCATGGGCTCTTCTAAGTAGATTGAACAATTCTTTTGCCATAAAGATTTGGATAACTACTACCATGGCCCAAATATAAAGATGGCCCATGTAAATGATGAAAGCAAAGCCCCCAATCATCCACACAGATGAATATGCACGGATCAGCATTGATTTGTACTTGGATCGATCGTTAACAAGCAAATGGTTTCCATTTGCTTTGACAACTTCTGGAGGAACCTGTAATTTCGGGAAGAGGGGCAAAGAACATTTAAGAAAATTTAGTATTCAAGTGGAGAAGCGAAGACGGGCAAACTCATTATCCACCATGTTTCAAAACTAAATACCAGCGGAATTCTCGATTATCAAGAAAATATTACAGTAAGAAAATCTGGAGTCCTAACATTTACAAAATTCCAATCCCAAATGGAGACACTAAAGCATCTCAATTCTATTTACTTATCTATCTATTGATTAATGTACTTGTTCATTCTCAAACATATAGCCAAAAAACTCATAGCGAAAAGATAAAAGTAAAGATAGCACAAATCATTAAAAGAACCAATAAAAAAAAAGTGAAGTCACCTCATTTGATCCTCTACGACGACGTATCCGTCCTGAAGGCGTTCCTGGGGCACTGGAATTGCTATCGTTTTGCATACTTTCTTTATCAAGTCCTTACCCCCACTAATAATTCAACTTACAAAGAACACATGAATACCTAAAACAACCTGAACATAAATAAACAATAAAAACATGAGGACTCAGGTTCAAATCTCAGCGGAGACAAAAAAATACTAGGTGATTTATTAGCATTTGCCTAAGTCTTAATGGACAGAGATATCGGGTACATGGTTCGGATAACATGTACACGATGGACAGTGGCGAAGCCAGAAATTTCAGTAAGAGGGTTCAAAATTTAGAGAAGTAAACACAAAGAAGTCAAGGGAATTGACATTTACTATATATACATAAAAATATAATTTTGACCTAGTATATATAGTGTAATTTTTCAGCGAAGGAGGTTCGAATGAACCCTTTCCACCCCTCGCTCCACCCATGCCGGTGGACTAGTCGAGGTCCGCCATGCTGGCCCGGACACCACCCTCATCAAATCCTAACAAAGGTAATAAACACTAGGCGATTTCCATCCCCTCTACCTAAGTTTTAATGGGCAGAGTTACCTGGTACCTGCGCTAGAGGCAGGTAGCAGGTACCTAGTAGAGTAGTCGAGGTGCGTGCAAGCTGACCCAACTCCACCGTCAAAAAGAAAATAAAGCAATTAGAAAAGGTCGGTGAATTCAACAAAGAACAGAGTATCAAACAAAAATAATTTAAATCATTAACAATTTAAACTATCCATAAGGCTATTCTAATCATGTATAAGTATTAAATAAGCATAGCTGCCAATACAAAAAAGAATTATTACGATAAATTAGTCCAAAAGGGAGTCAAAATGAAAGTATAAACAAGTTAATAAACCCTAATTAAGCTAATTATAAGCACAGCAACGAATTTCAAAAACTGAATCTTAACAAAAAATTGAAAAAAAAAAAAAAGTTTTTTGCTTCAATTGAATACAGTAATAAATAGGAAAATTAGACAGAGAATAAAAGAAAAGGAGAAATAGAGAAGGAGAGATCGGACCTATCGACGAGTGGAAGTTTGTGAGTGAGGAATGAGGAAAGGCACCAAAGCACATCTCAGTTAACTCATTTTTGGCTGCATTTGGAGGCTAAATACTGGGTATTAATAAGCAAAAGATCAAAATTTTGCAGAAATATTGAATTATGTAGACCACCCAAGTTTTAATTTATTTATTTATTTTATTATTACAACTTATAAGTAATAGGTAACAAGCTCTAGAATTAATAATTTCTGGAACCAATTTTTCTTCTGCGGCTAGAATTGGATTAAGCAATTTAAGAAAAATTAAAAAAATACAAAAAGCATAAAATATAAGAGAATATTTTTTGGGAATAATGTGTCTGTCCTTTGCTTAGTCTCTCGACCGACCAACCTTTGGATCCGGTAAATTGTAATTGCGTTGCTGATTTTACGGTTAAAATAGGGAGAAATTCAAAAATAGCCAGATTTATAAGTGGTCATTCAAAAATAACCACAGTTTCAAAAGTAATCGAAATTTAGTCATTTTTCATGTAAAGATAAATTTGAACGAAAATATTGTTCAAAATCCGGAAAAATACTCCAGCATAATATACTAGAGTTCCAATATAATATACCGGTCCAGCATAATATACTGGAATTTGGAGCACCGGTGCTCTAGTCTCCTGTATATTATACTGGAGCCAGCAAAGTATACCGGTCTAGCATAATATGCTGGAAGTTCATACACATGTGTACCTATCTCTAGTATATTATGCTGGAACTTTCCGTGTTGCAGCTAAATAGTGGTTATTTTCCACTAACTTTGCAAACACTGCTATTTTTGAATGACCAGTCCGAAAGCTGGCTAGCCCGTGTTATTTTAATGTAAAAATAGCACGGGCTAGCGAGCTTTCGGACTAGTCATTCAAAAATAGCCAGCGTTTGCCAAGTCATTGAAAAATAGCCACTATTTTGCTGCAATAGAGACCAGTCTAGCATAATATACTGGAGTTCGGTGCACCTGTGTATGAACTTTCAGCATATTATGCTGGAACTCCATCACGCGGAAAGTTCCAATATAATATACTAGAGATCTCTCCAGTATATTATGTTGCACCGGTATATTATACTGAAGTATTTTTCGAATTTTGAACAGTATTTTCTTTCAGAATTATCTTTACATGAAAAGTGGTTAAATTTCTATTACTTTTGAAACTATACCTATTTTTGAATGACCACTTGTGAATCTAGCTATTTTTGAATTTCTCCTAATCTTACGATAGCCCAATATGTCAAATATTATTGAAACTAATCCAATCCCTTCACCCATCTTTTTAAACTAGGAATGTTTACCTCCTATATCAAAGGTTAACACCTTATTTATTTTAAATAAATACCCTTTGAAAAAATTATCTCATATAGCTACTTTTAAATTTTTATAGCAAATATCTATTTATGATCGCTTCCTACCTTTACGCCATTAAATATGTTGTGTATTCTTTTTTTCTCTCCCTATCTCTTCCCCCTCTCCTCCTTTCTCTTTCCTCTTTTAGTTACACATCTTCACCGCCTCCTTCGAAACTACCTAATATTTTGCACTTTACTCTGATCTCCTTATCGCTGTAAGGAGAAAATAAGTCAATCTCATATTTCTACCTTATTTCTTCTTCCCAAAAAGTTAACTTAAGCACAATTTCAAGAATTTCTCCAAAAACCTATTTGAATGGAATTAAGTTTGATAATAGTTTCAAAATGAAAGTTTTCCATAAGTTTCTGAAGACATGTTTTATCAAAAATAATGTTGGTTCTAAGACCAACTTTGAGTTGTTTTCAAACTTATCTGCAAATAGCTCTACCTGGAAGCCCTGATATCTCTATTTATTTGCTCTCCCTCATCGAGCTCATCGCCGACAATATAAATCCTTTGTGATTGTGCGATACTGTGATTGTGCTCTGTGGACGCTCTAGACGAGACGACATTAGGGTTATTCTTGAACAAAGACGATAGAGTTTGGGGCTGAGCAACTTGAAGAGTCTGTTACCTTTTTTTTATTGTATTTCAATGTATCTCGCTTTATTCTATGTATTTCATTGTATTCATTGTCTCTTTTTTTCCACTGTATTTCAATGTATCTCGATGTATTCTATGTATTTTATTGTATTCATTGTCTTTTTTCATTGTATTTCAATGTATCCCGCTGTATTCTATGTATTTTATTGTATTCACTATCTCGCTATATTCCTTAAATGTATTCATATATTTTTTTTAGTTAATATAATTTATGTATTCATATGTATTATATAATTTCTCTGAAGATTGCTATGTTTTGGAGGTATTTTTCGGTTGAGAATCTTTTTTATAAATGAAAATACAAAATTTGTGTGTTACAATTGAGTTTGTTGAGTTATATTAGGAGTCTATTATATTAATTGATTCACTTTTCGTTTAAAAACAGTGTAATCCCCAGTTTCACGCCGTGAGTGAATACAGTCGAATACAATAATATGTCCAGTTGTAATCCCATGTTTCACTCCATGAATACAGTCGAATATACTCGAATACAAAAATATGTCTAGCTGTAATCCCATGTTTCAAGCCTAGAAATGCAACTGTATTTATGTATACAATAGTTTAAATACATCGAATACACTTTAAAAAATTTGAAAACATAGCTATAGGAAGTAATATAGTAAATGATAGCTACAACAAGCTAATAACCACTAAAATATAGTGGTTTCTGAAAGTTTCTCTTTAAACTACTAGTCTCTCATCTCGTGCTTTGCGCCTATAAAAGGGTTTGATTAATGATCGTTCAACTTTATATATATATATATATATATATATAGGTGAACTTGTGCGCAGTAGAATTATATTTAATTCTGCATAAATCACATATCATAACTTTAATATCTCGTTGGGATCTCATCTTTATTCAAACTTTATTGACAACTAATTTTCATGTTAGATGCCTCATTTCAAACATTATAAATTAGAAGCTAGAGTTGACAACTTCCGATCTTTTCCTTTTTATGTTACTTTATTTATTCTTAATATTATTTTATTTTAGAAATTATCAGCTTTTTGTCTTTTTTAAATATTTTACAAAAAAAAGAATTCCTTTCACACCAAAAAATTAATTTTTTATGCATTATTTGTTCCTCTTTCTCCATCTCTTTTATAGTGTTTATTTTTTATTACATTATTCTCTTCTTTCTTTTATTCGTGTCAAGGGATAAACTCCATGTTTTTTCCCGTTAATTATTTTATTGAAAAGCATTTTAATTTATTAAATGAAAATGGCATCTGACTTCTCCATCGTTAGTAAAGCTAAGAGCTTAATCTCATAAACAAATGATGCTTATGAAACGCTATGATAAATGCAACTTATAAATTACGACATACAAATCGAAATAAGCAATTGCAACTTATATATAGATATTGCCAAAAGCGACTTATAAATCACAGTTACAAATATGACTTATAATTACAATTAACAAAAGCGTCTTATAAATCGCAATTGGCAAATGTTCATAATCTCAACTGATCAAGACGATTTATTTCTCAATTGTGACTTGTAAATCGCAGGAAATAAAACCTGTAAATCAAAATTTGCCAATACGACTTATAATTCAAATGCGACTTATATATCACAATTTGCAAATGCGACTTATAAAACGCAATAGACCGACTTGTCAATCACAATTACCAAATGCTACATGCAACTTGTAAATTGCAGTAAGGCATGTCGGTGTGGGCTAAGTCTTCCCTGCTAAATTTTTAGCTTAGTGCATCGTGCTTCCCCTTAACTGGAAGTCCATTAATTCATATGTGCTTGATATAACTTATAAATTTATAGATTGAGGGAGTGCATTTCACATTGTAAGAGATTCATATAGTAACATTAAGATTGTGCTTTCCCACAAATCACATCTTTAGAATAAATTCTTTTGATTGGTAACCACAAAAATGAGATGCTAAACTGCAACTTCTCAATGGAATAAATAGACAAACTTTTAATAGTAAAGTCAAAGAAATACAAATATTGAGGGGTATTATCACTTTTAGCCCCGTCAGAAATTATTTGCACTTGGTAGTCGAAAAAGTGTATAAAATTTGTATAAATTTTATATATAATATACATAATGTATATATATACAAAAAGTATACAAATTTTACACATTTGTTCGGCTATTATTTTTCAGCAGCTATATAGTGTTATTTTTTCAATATTTAAACCATTTTATTGCTTGATGTTGAGTCCATGCATTTTTATAACTAGGTTTGGTTTCAGAAGTGATTTGAGCTTTTATTGCCATAGTCAATTGTCCTGTTGGATTTCTTTCTTCGGCTTAACCCAAAGCCTGGTTATGTGGGGCAAGTGCACAAATAGCCATTCTCAGGAATGTTATTTAGATATTAGCCAGTACTTATTTTATTATGAAATTTTAAACTAGAAAACGTAACTTAAGGACAATTTAGGACAAAAATATCCTTAAAATTTGAACTGAAAATCTGAAATTCAGAACGCAATGGCTAATTCCTAAATAACATCCATTTAGAATGACTATCCGGTGACATTTCTACTAGTTTATGTGCTCATAAACTATTTTAATTTAATTCCAATGCAACGATGGATGGTAATGCATGTTGGCCTAGATGAGTTTAAATGAAAAAATATGGTCAAATATGAATTTATATAATAAATCCCAACTGGAAATAGATAAACATTACACCATTAAAAGGGCCAAAACAACATCTACCAAGCTTGTGGTCATTCCCTACTTATAATTCTTTTTTATTTTTTGTATTATGAATAATAATAAATTTAAGTTTTATGTATTGGTGGGGCAAAAAAAATAAATTTACACAATTAGATCATAATACAAGCAATTATAAGAAACTAAAACAACAAACATCTTGACAAATAGCAAATTTGTTAACAAGTTAAAAAATACTTATAATGTAAAACGTATTTACTTTATTAGTGTATAAAACTTAAACTTAAAATAAATAATATGGATGTCTTTTTCATTCTCAACTTCCGTTGCTCTTCTTCATGGTATCCATAATTCCAAGTTTCAAACTACTTTTATTCATAATTTAATGACCATAATTAGAGCCCGTTTGGCTTAGCTGATTTAAGTAGCTGATAAGATTAGGTGCTGAAAAGCACTTTTAAATGCTGAAACTGATTTAAAAAATAAGCAGTTACGTGTTTGGATAAAAGTGCTAAAATTAATAATAAGCAGCTGAAGAATTGGGTATAGGAAGAGTTTTGTTTAAAAAGAATTATTTTAGGGATAAAATAGTAAATATTTTGGTCAAACCT